GAAACTATGAGTGTTATATTTGGTTCACCTTAATGGAATTCCTATTTGTACACTGCAAATAGGAATTGCAGTACATATTCAAAGTCTACATTAATGGCACGTCTTGCTCACATAAAATACTGTAAAAGTTATTTACAGTATCCAAACGCAATATGGTGCATTAGCCTAATTCTGGCAACCCTTATGGTTATTCATTTTGTAGTAAATTATGCTCAATGCTATTAATCAAAAGTAGGAGTGTAGTATAAGAGAAGTTATAAAGTCAATGATAAGAGCTTCGCTACGCTCTGCTCAATAATTTCTATATCCTGCAAATGAATCATGGTAAACCTATGCGATACCTGAATTATTAAAAGGCAATAACGTGCATTATTTGAGATCCCAGGTTCGAATCTCCTCGGCGGCCTTAAAGTTTTGCTTCTGATTTTGTTAAAATATGATTTTCTCTTAACTTCACTAATCAGTTTTTTTATCTGAGACATTTATAATTTAATTTTGTGATAAGAATGCATTTTTTATATAAATACATTAACTTTTTGTTTGTAATAATTTCCTAACAGCGAATAATTGAGATAGGCTAATCGATAATATAATTAGGTCTAGTTTTATTTCAGCAGTTAAAAGTAAGAAATATATTGTCAACCACTTTCAAAATTTCCCTTTGGTGCAATAAAATTTATCAATACGACTATAATGTAGACTACAAAGAATAAGTGAAAACTTTAGGAATTGGTTTACCGGTACGTTACATAACATTTATAATGACATCAAAATAAGCAGTTTGCTTAACTTGAAACCTTATTATTCCTAGTAGCTGGAACCTATATATTTTTTCCAACCTAACTTTAGACTACTACATGGCAATGTTTAAAACTATTTTGTAAGTTAGTATCGCAGAGTAAAGCGAGGTGGTAGACAATAGGCCTACCAGTAGGCATATTTGGTTTAAAACGACGTTGTTACATCTTCTCATGAATTTGACAGAGGAGCATATAGTCCTAATTTAATTAATGATTAATTCTTTTCGAAGTGCACACAGCAATATTAGTGTTAATCCTTTGGGATTTTATTGTCTAAGTTACACCATTTAGTTGTAAACCTTATCTGTAAACCAAGTGATTGTGATTTCATTTCGTAAAATTATTTTGTATTTTTAGCTACAGGTACATTTTTTTACAAATTTACTTGCAAATCAAGGGCAGTGTGATTTTTGTCGGTATAATTATGTTATAGTGTTTTTTAATGCCCTCGTTTTAACTTCTCCTTCTCCACGCTACATAGGCCTAGGCCTAATTAGTTGACTATTCATTGTTGTTAAAAAGAACAGAACGATTATACAATTAAATATAAACGTCATGATTTTAATCACTCAATATATGACTGATTGTTAATCACTTCGTATTACATGCAATTAACTAATATGCTCTTTAGTATTCATCAGATTTTTTCTTTTGTACTGTATTTATAATGTGGTAGATTTGTTGACTAACATATGTCGAGGCTCTTGTTTACTTTTTATTGTTTACTCGCAAATAATGTCATGGCAACCAATTAACCCATAAGGCCCATGTTAAATTTCTAAAAGTTTGCATTCATGTAGGGAATATTCCTATGGTCCGATTTGTACCATTTCAGATTTATACCTTCCCATGGTTGGGTACTATGACTGTGTTAAATTTCGTGAAGATCGCTTCAGCCGTTCAGGAGGAGTATTTGTAATAAAAAAGCAGGAGTGTAGTATAAGAGCTTCGCTCGCTCCGCTCAATAAATAGTTTGTGTAAAGAGTATGTGTCTGTCTGTGTGTAGGCCTATAGAGTACTTCCTGGCCAATCATAAAAGAAATGAGAAAGTTTAGGTTACTCTAAAATTTTGGCCAAATAATGACTTGATATTAATGTATAGGAAAATGGATGATTTTAGATACGATACTTTATATTACATCCCTCGTTGATATACTGCTTTTAGTAAATTAAATTATAAAAAACACAATTAAATGTAACATTATAAATTGTTTGAATTAGAATTCATCTATATATATAAAATCCAATGTATGTTAGTTTGTTTGTTTGTCCTATTATGGACTTCGAAACCGCTCGACAGATTGTAATGAAACTTTCAGGCATTATTGAGCATTATTCAAGGATGGTTTGTGTGAAGTTTGGTGCAGGTCCGTCAAAAGGGCTCCGCCCCAGTGGCTCTGGAGTTTCCCATGTTAACCTTATGAGTACTCATATTTAAATGAAATTAAAAAACCTTAACAGCTGGTTCAAAAAAAAAAAAAAAAACTATTTGATTCTGTGATGTTCAATTGCATTAAAACTAGGTTTAATAGGTTTACCAACAGGGTGCAGCACTATTTAAATTTATGACAACAGCTAATTTGCAACCAAAAGGAGAGTGCGCGTAGTGAACAAACTTCAACCTGAAGGAGAGTTAGCGTACCCAACGAGCTAACCTGAAAGCAAGTGAGCGCAGCAAACGAGCTCCAACCTAAAGGTCAGTGAGCATAGCGAACAAACTTAAACCAGGACGTGATTGAGCCATGCGAACGAGCTCATCTTGAAAATGAACGAGCATTTGACATAAAACCACATCAGGATAGGACGACGTCTGTCGGGCCAGCTAGTATTTTATAAAGTACAATTAAAAATCAGGTTTTTTATCTGTGGCAAAACCAATACATGCCTGTTAATTTTATTTAATTTTTTGATGACATAAAAATTCTCACTACATGACATTTTAAATGAAGGATTTAAGGTGGGAAGGCTCCCTAATCACGCCTCTCCGTTGACAAAATTGTAGTAATATTTATACATTAGCCTTCAACTAAATAAATTATGGTATAAAAACTTTTCTCGTTTTGATTTATAAATTCAAAGAAAACATTAATAGCTATTTACCTTACAAGTGTAGTAAGAGCGTTTTTACATCACGCAGGTGAATGTTGTGCAACAAGCGGAAGCGAGGTCTGTACCTGAACTCGTCGCCCTCTTTCACGAAGTCCTGATACAAATCGGTGACAGCCTCTTGAACGACCAAGAGACATGTATTGTTCATCTCATGTGCATCGTCTTTTAAACACCCCAAAGCTACTTTATCAACCAGCTAGAAATAGCATCAGTGTTCATTTACCGCACCTCTTTTAAGAACATAAAAGTAAATAATAATATAAGTAAACAAACAACTAATGTCAATTGCATTGACCAGCTGCTGTTCACTAAATTAATCGAATAACGTGTGTAAGGCGTAGCCCTTTAGAAATCGGGCTCTGGGGCAGAGCCCTAAGATAATTCGTTCATACCAATACTTTTCGGCTAATCTACACACTCTGAGCTTCATTTTGATGTGCCACATGTCTATAATTTCATTTTTTATTTGGTTAATGGCCTTAACCATTTACATAAAATTTGATTATGTATCACTTTAAAAATATAGTACTTGTAAAATCGAATATTGTAGTACAGCCCAAACTGGCCGTAGTGCATTGAATACCAGACTAAAGTAAAAGTATTTATAAAATACACAAGTTAGTTGTTATTTTAAAAAATACTTGGCATTCTTTTGTAATTTGAACTGTTTTACGAAAAAAACAAATTTTAAAATAGAAGGTAATATCATTTAGGCCAAACTTAAATAGAAAGTATAAAGTATCAAAAGGTTAGCACTCCTCTTAATTAAACTAATGAGGTAAGAGAATTGGTTTTCTGGATTTTTTGGATGAAAGAAGCAGACCCTTTATTTGCATGGCCAGCCAGATGTCCTGATCTCAAGTTATGCCTATAGAATTCTTTGTTTGGGGATTTCTTGAAAGTGAATTGTATACTAACTACCTATGTATAAGGTTAAGAGTAGCTGATAAATTAACAGTAGCTGTGGAAACGTTGAGAGGAGCCATTTCCTTTAAGATTAGTTGCAGCAATAAAGAAAAGCTGAAGAACACAAAGTTTTAACCACTTTTTTAAAATTCTTAATGCAATTTTCCATGATTTTTGTCTGTTTTCAGTTAATTATATTATATTACCTTGTATTTAAATTTGTTTGGTAAAATAACTTAAATTGCATATAGTATCTTCTTCTTTTGATTACAGTAGGCCTACTTCTAACTTGTTTATTTATAAAATACTCTACTTTTACCTGGTATTCAACACACTATGACTAGTTTGAGCTTCCTATACTAAAATATTATATTCTACAAGTTTACTTATTGTCGCTAGCTTTACTCACTTTTTTCACTAAATGTGTTCTTGTTTGAAATATTATTCAAGTCAAATTTACAAGGTGTTACATGGATTTGGCTGTAGCAAACAATCATTTTTCTGATAGAAAAAATTCATAAAAAAATATTAATATATTGGCTATCAATTGAGAAAAATTAGATTTTATTAGGCAATGTCAAGAAAGTTAAAAAAATCTAAAAACGACTGTTGCCGGAAGTAGGAGTGAGATATAAAAATTGTGTACTTTTATTGCAATTTGCGTACGTAATAATGGCATAAAAATTAAAATCTTTGATACTGACTACCAAATATCCTGTATATATAACTTATAGGTACTGAAAATTTTGCCAGACCGTAAATATATAATGGTGTTACAGTGTTATACAGTTTCCATTTAAACCAGTCTCATCAAGCCCACTAGTGTTTGATTGGGTCTGAAGATGAACAGTGTAACTGGTTAAAATCAAACGCCAGTGTAATACCTTTAATTTACAGTATATGTGTTGATATATATCAAATAGTGTTGGAAAATGTATTTTTTACTATACCGATATTCCAATTATACTAGTACGAGCACGTAAAATTTGGGTAATCACTAAGTTATCCAACTAAACCGAGTCACAGTGAACCTGTATGAAAATAGATTATTTGGAATATAACATTACATTTTTTTAATATCGAGAATTGTTTTCTAAGTATAACCGTAGGCAATTTTTATTTATACTCAGTCAAACCAATATATGCTTATTAATTTTAGTCATCATAAGGCTACTGACGAGCTCATTTCAGTTATCTATAAATAACTTCTTTATTTTTTAAATCAAATTTGAAAAGAATTATGTTTGGTAAATTGTTAAAAATGGCATTAAAAACATAATCAAAACGGAGTAACTTAGCAAAAATGTCAACACGCCTACATATCATAATGAATTCTCAACTGGCAAACTTATATGAAAAAAAGAAAAATTCTAAAGGATTTCCAATTATATACATCATTATAAATATAAAAATATATACATACGCTAATATACATACTTTAAAATAGAAAAAAAAATCACTTCTATAGATATAAAAATACTTGCAGAGATCTGTCCACTGAGATCACTTTTTATATAATTCACTGTTTTAATATTAAGTTTTTATATACCCGTAAATAATTTATATAGCAAGTTTGCATCAATGCAAGTTTCAGTCTATGATTACATTTAAAAATGTAAGATAATTATAAAATAACAATTAATATCACAGTCCGTGAACAACCATTAGAGATCACCTGGCCTAATTTTAACCAGACAGAATTGTCCATAAGAGGAACTGACAGGGTAAACTAAGTCCTGCACAAACACACACACAGGGATTGGGATATTGTCCATTGTGCATATTATGTAGATAACACAGATTTTGCATTTAATTAAGTCCTTTCAATATTGTAAATCAACATATATTTTCACTAAGAACATAAAAAGAAAACCAATTAGTTCCTTGCAAATTGTAATATACAAAATATGTAGCTTCACTGCTCAACTAGAATACTACGCTAAAAAATCTGTTCAAAGCCAATAATACTGCACCAATCAGATTTAAAAATTATATCTATGGAATGGAGTTAAAACACAGATTTCAAATTCAATGGTAAAATAACAGCTTATGGTGCATCTAGAAGCAAGTCATAAAAAACCGTCTTCTTTATCGACGATCACGGTAGCGGTGACTATCTCTGTCTCGATCTCTTGGACGTTCACTGGTTCGCCAAAGGAACTCATCGACGGAGCGGTCGTAAGAGCGTTTGTCAGAATATCCGTTGCTTCTTGAAGAGGCTGGATACTCAGGAGGCAGAGGGAGCCCATCATAGTAGCGAGGGGGAGGAGGTATACCGTCATACGACGACGATGACGAGAATACTCCGGGTGGAGCAGCATAAGTCATCGGGTGTAGTTGATGAAGACTTCTCATATAATCAGCCACATACGCCTCAGCTGCAGCAGCTACTCCTCCATATGATCTTCCTCTTTCATCTCTTGAACCACTAAACCATAATGATAATCTATCACGATGGCGAGGTGATGAACCTTTATAGACAGCTCCGCTGCTACTCACACGGCTTCTACCACTAGAAAAGAATTTCCCTCGAGGACCTCTACTGAAAGAGTTACCCCTCCCTCTCCAGCTGGGGTAAGGTGCGGATCTAGAGGAGAAGCGTGGACTCGATCTACCGTAACCTTCACGTCTGTACCTTGAACTACGTGGACGAACATTCTTCGCTGCTTCTTTGGACTTGCGTAGAATAGGAGTGAGTTCTATGCCTTCATCTTCAGGAAACAGTCTACACAACTCTTCTGCTACTCTCGGTTCAATCTCTTGCCCATCTCGGCCAATCTTAACAGGTTTCCCTTCATTCCAAGGGTTGTAAAGGTGCATTGTAGAGTTGAAAGGCAATTCTTTTCTACAGATCCAATCAACTTTGAAAACACCTCCAAGTGCTTTAGCAGACAAACCAGGAGGAAGAACCCATGATATGGGAGCCACATCTCTCCTAGACTCACTGCAAAGTCTTGCAAACCCTGCAAATTTACCACTCTCTTTGACTGAAAATATGAGCAGTACATTTCTAGACTCTTTGAAAGCTGTATTCAACTTGGTTTCATTTTGAGGCAATGTTGACCACACTCCCTTTGCTTTTGACAGTGCCACATTTTCAGCATTGTTACTTTTAATGACAAAGAAGCGAGCATCCCGAAACAGATAATTTAGTTTGGTAAAATAATCATAAGATTTAGATGACTTTTCTCGAGACTTTGGACGCTTTGGCTCAACTGAAGGGCTTTTTTTCTCTCTTGAATGACTGCGTTTGTGTCTTCTTTTGTGGTCCAATGATGAACTGGTGCTGACTGAACTGATGCTGGGCTGGGATGACTCGCTTCCACTTGAAGATGAAGTCACTTCACTTCTTGTATCGTACTCTACATCTTCCAACTTCAATTCATCACCAACATCATCTCCAAAATTTATACTCAAATTTTCTGCATCTCCAGCATCCATAGCCTCCATGTTATCGATGGTTAGTTGGCTTTAAAAGATAAGGTCAAAGTAACCTGCAACAACAACAAGTTTTAATACTTTACAATAATAGAGACAGCTACAGTAGAGTCCTGCAAACTTGGCGTAATGTAGACTGGAAGGGTGCAGAGTTTGTGAAATGCCGGGTTATCGGGAACTAGGGTCAAAAATGAGAACAATACAGTTTTTTAGCTTTTTAACCACCCTTTTTAATTTATATTTATATTAAAAGTCAGTATTAAGTCATAAGATATAGTACAAAAAATCCTTGGTATGAGTTTCGAATGATTTGACTTGAGCTGGCTTGAGTTCATGTTTAACTGGGACTCAAAAAATCACTAATTCTCTGAGCCAGGTGATGGCCGAGTTATCCAGACTGCCGGGTTATCGAGTGCCGAGTTTGCGGGACTCTACTGTATCTGATGCAACTAAAACATGTGTTTTCAAAGTCCTCACTCAAGCACATTAGCAAACCGGGACTTTGTATCCTTTGTAATAGCTACTTTGTTTTTTTTTAGTTTTTGTAACAGAATTAGCCTAGATTTTATTTTACACTAGCTGTTGCCCCTCAGCCTTGCTTGGACATACTTTAAATAAGTTCTTTAAAGTACTTTAAATAATCATATCCGATTTTGATGAAATTTGGTACAAACGTGTAAAGCTACGTGAATCAGGATCGGACCATGGGAACAGGGTTTTATGGGATGATTTATGGGGTAAAAATTGTTTTTTCTTGTTTTTGACTCTCAAAACATAAAATTTCTCAATTTCTTTCCACACCATTTTGAAGAGGTTAAAAAAACAAATAATTTAGTATATTGAAGAAAGTGTTTTTGTATGGTTATTGGTTACGGAGAAAATTGTAAATTGAAAATTCCCACGTTATTCTCATAGAGAATAAATACACTGTTGTAGTTTGCTTGTTGTTAGATGGGTGTATTTTGACCAAAATTGGCAAATATATTTATTTTAAAAGCTAACTTATTAATGTTTTATTAAAAAACACAGTTTATTGCCCTCCCTATAGGCAGCAAACCTAGGTACTCGTTAAACCTAATGTTATTGAAATAAATTTAATTGAAAATCAAATCAGACAAATGGAAATTCGCTTAGCCTGCAGGTTTGCTGCGGCGGGAATATTTTTTCGGTCTAACTGTTGTACCAGTGCTTTGCAGTAAATTTTTAATGCTATTGCACTTCATAGAACCATAGAACCCAACTTATTGGTTTGTTATTTGAAACAGCTGTCAAAAAGCATATATTCTTTTAAAATATGAACACCCATAAGATAAGGTAAACCTGGGAAATTCCAGAGCCGCTGGGGCAGAGCTCCAGTTCAAAAATAAGAGGGAATTCAGAATGGGAATGGGGCAGAAAAATTCCCGTAAGTGTTTAGGAAAACTTCAGAAAGTTTCCTCCCGATCAGATGGCCAGTTTGGTAACGCATAAAAGACAAATGACAGACAAACAACAAACATACATTGGATTTTATATACAGGGTGTTTTTTTAAAAACTTGCATCTTTATTTATGTAAAAACCACAATAGATAGAAATATTCAGTTTGCGGGAATCATCTATTGACGTAGGGGGCACAATTTTTTTGAATTCAACGTTACATTCACATTCCCCCCCCCCCAACTTATTTTTTTTTTTGCAAGGTAGGCTACCCCTTGTGACATATCAAATGAAAAAGCATGAAAAAAGAAAATGTTTGGTGAAAAAAAAATTGAAAATCGGCTCATGAATTTGTGAGATAATCCCCCCCTTTTCCCCTTCCCATAACTTTTTTTAATAGCAAGGTACCCCCCCTTGTGACATATCAAATGAAAAATAAATTTCCCCAAACATTTTCTTTTTTCATGCTCTTTCATTTGATATGTCACAAGGGGTATCTTGCGATTAAAAAAAAATTAAGTTCTGGGGAGGAGGGGGGGGGGAAATATCTCGCAAATTTATGAACCGATTTTAATTTTTTTTCATCAAACATTTACTTTTTTCATGCTCTTTTATTTGATATGTCACAAGGGGTACCTTGCTGTTTAAAAAAATTAAGTTGGGGGAAGGGGGGGAATGTGAATGTAAGGTTGAATTCAAAACAATTGGGCCCCCTACGACAATAGATGATTCCCGCAAACTGCATATTTCTCTCTATTGCGGTTTTTACATAAATAAAGATGCAAGTTTAAAAAAAAAACACCCTGTATGGAAAAGAATCAGTGAAGGGATTATTTTTTAAACAGAATTTGAAGCGTTTTCTTTTACCAATGTTAAAATATTTTAATCGAGTCAAATTGTGTGAAATAAATTTTTAATCATTAAGCCTATACTATAGCCTACTTCTACTACTACAACTTTGGGTTTTGGTTATTTTTTAGAAATTTTAGAAAAGTCCTACAGATAATGCTAACATTTTATTTCAGTGCAATATAATTTGGTAAATAACTGGTTGTTTTTCATGGTTTTTTTTGTTGTTTCATGAAGCGTACCGATTCATGAAAGTAAGCTAACAATGTTGCCATTGCTACAACAATGTGAGAACTGTTGAATAATTTATTACTTACCGGTACTATTAGACAATGGAATAGTATAACTCTTTGTGTTTCTTACTAATGCATTAAATTAATGGCATGTTTTCCATACAAACAAATATTGTTTTAATGTTTATTTTTAGATCAATTAATACAATATAGTAGATTTCTCTACTCTGTCTTATTGGAAGAAGTTAATATTTCCCTTAAACAAACAAATTGTATGTATCATAAAATATGACCATAAATAGATATTTACTGCTACTATCTCCAACCAAAGATGCTTGGATATTGCAAATTGGACATTTTCACAATCTATAAAATATAAATGTTATTTACGGTAGAAACTCCTTCAACTACTCACTCGTATAGACCAGATCTGTAGCCTACCCTATCAAATGCATTTCATATAAAATGTATCTGCCCCAGCAAAACAATAGAGATTGGTTTTAACCGCCCTGACATTTGACACTGGTTGACTTGACAGATTTTTATAGGAATTTAGGGCTTAATGTGTTTAAGGCATTCCTTTCCCATGCTTATCACAGTAATATAGGCGATTGTGTTCTTACTGTAGGCTACACGTTATCAAAAATCACTATACGGGAGAATAAAAAACAGAGAAAATAGCTTCAAGTAAATATTAAAGTATGATCTATATAATTAATACGCCAACACAAAATTTGTCCTTTGAACTCCTCCGCCATTTGTTAACCGATTTCGACCATTCACATCTCATTGGAAAGAGTGTGTTGTGTATTTAAGTTAAAGCCTTTGTATATATCACGTAACCTTATAGGTACTTTCAAAGCTAAGCAAATTAGGAATAAAGAACAATGCATTAAAGTTACTGAAGTCTTACCTTTCCAACAGAAAACAGTTTGTAGAAATAATTCACCAAAACAACAAAAACCATAAAATTCATTGACATTTTGAGTGCCTCAGGGATCGATCTTAGCCCCTTTATTATTAATTTTTTACTTTAGAGCTTTCCCCAACTCAGTGACTTGAGTGATCTTTGTCTATATGCGGGGAATGCGGATGATACTAATTTGAAAACCACTGCAAAATCAAATGATGAAATTGAACTTAAGGCAATTTTCAATGTAGGCTAGCAGTGTTAAATCATTTTGTTAATTTTAATAAGTTAATTTCCTTCTTAATCCAGTTAAGACAAATATTATTAGTTTTCAAACCAGTGCGGCGCAGCCCGCAGCGTCGAACAAACCTGATTGCCAGGTGATTGGGTTTCAAATTTCAGTAGGGCCTATAACAAATAGCTAACAACGTGCGGTGATGTCCTGCTTTATGACAAGAGTCGACGTAGTTTGCCAAACACCCACAGATAGCAGCACTGCTTGGAACGTTGCTGGTTCCATTGTATTGCCAAAATTGCAGGGGAGAAAGACGGGACAACAAGTTATTTTTAAGTTTAAGACGGGGATTTTATGGGGAAATTTTACTACCAACCTACAACACAACAAAAAGCAAGTCACCCACTAGCCTACATGCTAACGTGGTATAGGTCTGCCTTTGACCGACGCTAGAGCAATAGATGTACAAAGATCTTAAGTACGAAAGGCATTGCTGAGCTTATCCGACCGGTTACGGCAGCACCTGAACACCGCTCAGCCTGTGTCCAATCGGATACGCCCGCAGTGAATGTGTTAATGCTTCATTCGATGATAAGTTATATCGTAGGGTCTCTGTGGAACAGTAGGCTCTAACTTACCTTTGGTAAGCTTCTGGCAAGTCACAAAGGCTACAGGCTTTGCCTAGGCCTAATACGGATTGCTTTTACATGAACAGAACTTTGATTTGTTTAACTTACAACGGGTTTGTTTTGGCTAAATGAAACGCTATGGGTTAGCCCTATAGCAATCAAATTCAAGCATTCAATTATGTTTTTTGTGTCCTCTAAAACATGACTGCACTAAGATAACTTACTGTACATAGGCCTAGCCTAGGGAAAACCTGAGTCCCCCCTGACCATAACAAAATGGTTTAACTTAGCCTAGTCTCTAGGCCTAATTGTGAGACAAATTCTAAGTTCGACTAGCCTACCTTACAAGATGCTGTAGGCTTTAAAAATGTTTTCAGGATTTGGGGAAAAGAAACTGAACAATAACCTAGAGTTAAAATACCTGATAAACATTCAACAAGCAATTCGCCATTAGATAATCACCTTAACAATGGCGAATATAGGCCTAATATAAACAACATTTGAAAGACACTTTTCAGTAAACTTACCAATAAACGTAATTTCTTCGAAATAAAAATATTACTTAATCATGTTAAATATTGTAATTATACACGATTGCTGCTTAATGCTGTCTCGATAATTTAAAAGTTCTTAAAACAAAACAAATCGGTCAACAAGTTTAATGCTATGAACAATATGAACGAGTTGAGTTCATTCAGGATGATAATGAGGACAGAACGGAACGGACTGAGGACTGAGGAGTAGTACCATAGACTAACCAACACAAGTAGACTTCTCATCCCATTGTAAATTTTGAAGCACGTTTTTCGTATCTAGTTCATGTACGTGACACAAAGGCGCTAGTGTCGATGAAACTTTGTTTCCATTATTTTAGGGTTAATTTCTTGATTTGTGCTTTACTGTTTGGTTATATAACTAGGTGACAAGTTATTGTTTATGATTAGATCGTATTATTTGGTTAAACGAGGTTTTAAATGGCTGTAATAACGGGAAACAAATTGTAAACAAAACACGACCTCTACATAAACCGTACATGAACTAACAATAAAATTGTCTTCAGCTGTTCCATAAGGATGAGAAATCTACTAAGGGAGTATGTTTTATCTATGGTAGTACTGACTGCACGATTTTTATTTCAGCTGCAGTTTTTTAATACGGACTACGGACGTACTGACCGTACTGACTACTGAGGGAGGAGTGAGGACTGTTGTGGTGAGGAGTGGAGTGGAGTAGGTAGGAGGCTAAGCTCAGTACAGTCCAGTCAGTACGCTCACTTCAATCAACTTCAATGCTCACTTCTCGTCTCAAACTCAATTCTCAATCTCATTCTCATCTCGATCTCACTCATCTCACTCATTCGTGCTCACTCACTCAGTATCTATATAAAATCATTGACTATATAGTCAATGATAAAATCCAATGTATGTTTGTTTGTTTGTTTGTCCTTTATGGACTCCAAAACCGCTCGACGGATTGTAATGAAACTTTCAGGCATTATTAAGCGTTATTCAAGGATGGTTTGTGTGAAGTTTGGTGCAGATCCGTCAAAAGGGCTCCGCCCCAGTGGCTCTGGAGTTTTTTTTATGGAAATGGCATTTCCACAATTTTGTTAAGAATTTAAAGGACTATAACATACTAAATTTTTATTTAAATCGATCGAGAGATTCCATTTTCGAGAAAATCTTATTTTCCCTTTATTTTATGGGTTTATATGGGAAAATTACCATTAAAAATAAAAAAAAACACTGATTAGTGTCTATACTTACCAAACCAAATTCCATCAAAATAGGACAACAGATGTGGCCTGTAGCTATGTACACATCCACACACACACACGTGCGCATACGAAACCCACTTTTTAGGTTCATAGGGACCTCAAACCACTCCTAAAACGGATATATTCACCCAAAACTAAAACTCGAAAATTTTGACGAAAACAATACTTACTATACTATGGTATAGAATGGGGAGAAAGTAAAAATCTAAGTTTAGTACGAAGGCATGGATTTTAATTTACTTTTAAGATTTCAAAGAATATTTTTAATTTGGTTGTTTTACTTCAAATAGAACCATTAATTCAAAATTTTCTAAAACGTTTGCTTGATGCCTTTATATGGTTTGGGATAGTGCTTATCGACGTTTTTTATTTTCTTTGATCGGTTCTATTTTAGTTCTTTTCTTTTCGTTATTTCTTTTTAAAGATTTTGTCAACATATTGTCTACGATTTTAGTCTCACATACCCTTTATACTTTGCCACGTCTTTTATGTATTTTACTCCTTAATTATAATTTTTCTGAGACAGTGGGGTATTTAAGAGACGATAAAACATTGAGTTAAAAGCCAATCTTTTTTGTTAAGGAGGGTGAAGATAATCTTGAGTAATAAACAACTATTTTTTGCGTTGTTCTGTAAATGCCAAGTTTACCAAAATTGGTTTTCTATAAATGCGGACTGCCCGGACATGTCATTCGTGCAGTGCAAATCTGTGGCCACAGTCGTAGTTAAATATTTTTTGTGTTCCGCTTAAACAATGTTAGTTCGTGTGTTCGTGGTAAATGTTTTGACGACCTCGATAACAGTGATAATTAGTTGATGTTCTTGACGAGGATATGAAGAAGGTGATATTGTCGCCGTAACGATCATAATCCACTCCAGAGGAGGTAAAGGAGCCACAATGACGTAAATTGTGTTGAGGTAAATTAACCTATATTATTTATATGTTAAGTAACGCAAGACTACACAAAAATAAAACTAATTAATGACTATCATCATTGACTATTGGATACTGAACTCAAAGATATACAACTTATTTATTTAGGACCATTTTGTCCATTTTGTGTTGTTGTTTTGTATTTTTTAGGTCTTGTGGATTGTCGAACTACTCAATCTCCGCTCAGTGCGGCATCTTCATGGAGATTTTCTTACACTGTACTCTTCATATTTACATTAGATCTTCTTATACCCTTTGTGGTAGCGGTTGCCCGGCAACGGCGATACGAGTGGTGGGGTACAGTTGGGCCAAAACTTATGTGCGCGCGGAAGGTTTGCTACTAGCCGAACTAAAACAAAAAAACATACACCGGTTATTGGCAGGTCTATGGGGTAGGGGCGAGTGAGTAGTAAGACACTAATGTTTTCACAATAGTACCTCCACTAACCCCTTCGCCTAGACCCAACCAGATCTGGTCGCGCGCACAGAAACTTTGGCCGAACTGTACCCCACCGCTCGTATCGCCGTCGCCGGGCACCCGCGACCACAACTCGGCCACCTTTAACTCCAGGCCGCGTCCTTCGAAGGGGCAACGTCGCAAGTTGTGTTGTTATAGATGTTTTGTTTGGAGGCAGCTAATGGCATTTGCGTAATTTTTAACAATACGACACTTAGGTTACTGGGCTATGAAAATATTGACTCCATTTTAAATGTACAGAAATATATTTTCAATTTATATTGTTTTGGGTTTCAATTCTATATGTTTTATTTTCAACCTTTTAATTAATTTATATTCATAAATTTAAATGAACAATACGCGAATGATCCGGTGTCACCTGTCTACCATGTTATCTATGGGACGTCAGGCGCTGAACAACTACTAGCAAAGATTAAACATACAGGAGTATGTTTAATCTAAGCTACTAGCAACGTTGCCAATTCCACCAGGCCGCGGCCTTGACTTAAAGGTGGCCGTGGACAGGGCTATGGCACGGCCGCCTTTAACTACACGCCGCGGCCTGGTAGAATTGGCAACATCGCAAGTGGTGTTGTTCAGTGACAGACGTCCCATAAGATAACATGGCAGACAGGTGACATCAGCTCATTAATTCGCACTTTATTGATTTAAACTTAAATTTTTAAACATAAATTTATTAAAATATTGAAAATAAAACATATAGAAATGAAAACCGAAACAATATGAATTAAAATCTATATCTGTACATTTTTAAGCGGAGTCAATATTGTCATAATCCAGTAACCAATCTTTCGTAAATAAACAAATACCATTTTAGCTGCTTCCAAACAAAAACAGCTGTTACGACACCACTTGCGATGTTGCCAGTTCGAAGGGCGCGGCCTGGAGTTAAGGGCGGCCGGTGGGGCACACGGAAGATTTCTCAGGTGCCGTTTGACGTCACTAACTGCTGCGTCTGAAGAAACAGACAATTTTATAATTTTCTATTACCGTATTAAATTAAACTGTCATAACCTAACCAAACGTGCTGATAATGGAAAAATCGAATAAAGGTTTACTAATCTAAAAAATAGTTTTGTTCATAAAATGAAATTATAAATGCCTAAAATTGAATTTTATAATTTTTTAATTATAAAATTAAACTGTCATAACCTAACCAAACCAACCAAACTTGCTGATATGAAAAAAATTTTGTCAAAAAGTCAATGCTATCAGCGGGATTCGAACCCGGTGCAATAGGATTATCAGCCCTTCACGCTATCCACTATTCCACCGAGGCCGATGGCTCATACCGTATCGTTGCGGTATTGGTGTTCCCTCAAAGTGACATCAGCAGTTAGTGACGTCAAACGGCACCTGAGAAATCTTCCGTGTGCCGTTTCGTTTCAATTGTGTTGTCAAAATAAAATAGATTGTCAGTCATTCTCATTGCATTCTCATTCATTCTGTCATTCAGTGTCGTCTGAATTTCAGTCATTAGTCATTACAGGTTAAGGCTTAGGTACCAAATTGCACAATGACTACGAGTCAATTATTTTCCAGCGAATTAGTTGGAGAAAAAGCACTACTGATTTGGCAAGACGGTGAAGGTAATCTGGAGGAGATTATTGACAATATAAAGAAAAATCACGTTAAAGTTGGAAATGTTCAGCTAGAAAATATTGATAGATTGACACTAGGTAAGTAGGCCTATCTACTTTCTAGTCTTTGAAATGGCAAAACCAATATCTGGCCCTATTGTATTTACAAACAATATCAATTAAAACTTTGGTAATTATATCGACCTCCGGACCTCACGCGAAATTAAAAATTTTTTTTTCCAAAATGTTCGAAATTTCACGCTGATTTCAAAAATGGTTGTCGTTTTTTTCGGAAACGTCCCGTTTTCCCGGAAAATGGGAAAAACGGGAAAATATTTTTTTGCTCAAAACCCATGTTGTGGGTACTCAAATTGTGCGGAATTTCCTCCTGAACAAGAATATGTAAATTTTATTACGATCGGACCACTATTAAGTAAAATATCACCGAAAAACGGGAAAACGGGGAAATTTTTCTTTGCTTAAAACCCATGTTGTAGGTACTCCTGAACAAGAATATGTAGTTTTTATTACGATCGCTTTTAAGTAAAACATCACCGGACAGGTTACCCAACCTAACATAACCCAACTTAGGTTTAGGTTAGGTTAGGTTAGGATTGGTTAGTTTAGGTAAGGTTAGGTTAAGTTAGGTTGGTTTAGGTTAGGTTGAGTTTCGTAAGGTTAGGTTTGGTTAAGTTTGGTTAGGTTAGGTTAAGTTAGGTTAGGTTAGGTTAGTTTAGGTTAGGTTAGGTTAAGTAAAGTTAGGTTGGTTTAGGTTAGTTTGAGTTTCGTTAGGTTAGGTAAGGTTAAGTTTGGTTAGGTTAGTTTGGTTAGGTTAGGTTAGTTTAGGTTAGTTTACTTACAATACTCATGTTATTGATAAACTAACCCAACCTAACCTAACTTAGGAACTTAGGTTAGGTTAGGATAGGTTAGTTTAGGTTAGATTAGGTTAGTTTAGGTTAAGTTTGGTTAGGTTAGGTTAGTTTAGGTTAGTTTACTTACAATACTCATGTTATTGATAAACTTACCTAACCTAACCTAAGTTCCTAAGTTAGGTTAGGTTAAGTTAGGTTACACTAAACTAACCTAACCTAACCAAACTTAACCTAACCTAACCTAACAAAACTTAACCTAACCTAACCTAACCTAACCTAACCTAACCTAACGAAACTCAACCTAACCTAAACCAACTTAACCTAACCTAACTTAACCTAACCTAACCTAAACTAACCTAACCTAACTTAACCTAACCTAACCTAAACTAACCTAACCTAACTTAACCTAACCTAACCAAACTTAACCTAACCTAACGAAACTCAACCTAACCTAAACCAACCTAACCTAACCAAACTTAACCTAACCTAACCTAACGAAACTCAACCTAACCTAAACCAACCTAACCTAACCTAAATTAACCTAACCTAACCTAAACTAACCTATCCTAACCTAATCTAAACCTACGTTAGGTTATGTTAGGTTAGGTAACCTGTCCGGTGATGTTTTACTTAAAAGCGATCGTAATAAAAACTACATATTCTTGTTCAGGAGTACCTACAACATGGGTTTTAAGCAAAGAAAAATTTCCCCGTTTTCCCGTTTTTCGGTGATATTTTACTTAATAGTGGTCCGATCGTAATAAAATTTACATATTCTTGTTCAGGAGGAAATTCCGCACAATTTGAGTACCCACAACATGGGTTTTGAGCAAAAAAGTATTTTTCCCGTTTTTCCCATTTTCCGGGAAAACGGGACGTTTCCGAAAAAAACGACAATCATTTTTGAAATCAGCGTGAAATTTCGAACATTTTGGAAAAAAAAAATTTTAATTTCGCGTGAGGTCCGGAGGTCGATATAATTACCAAAACTTTTCAACAGTGTCAATGTTTTCATTTGTAGATTTGCTAGGCCTAGGTCACACCAACTTAATTAACTTTATGTAAGTTAGGCTACAGTTTGTATCACATGCGAAAAACCAGCTTGCGCATAAGTATGTTTACAAAAATTAACCCTTACCGCAATGCAGATGAATATATTCATCGAAATTCCCTTTGTGCAAAAGCAATGGACGACTATACTCGCCTTTTAACACGTTCGCTACTGAGCTTCGCATATATTCGACGCCACGGTCATTGCCACAGACCGAGGTATCCCTTTGAATCTTGCGCATAGACCGACTGTCACTTGGTTAACAGTACACACAGACCACGAGCGAAAACCTGTAAAACAGTGATCATTTACATTGTAATACGCTACAATCGTGTTTGTAAATAATTCATTCTTGTTTTTTTGTATTTTTTATAACCTTTTGTAATGTCGCATATTTGTGACGCCCTGTTTACAGTATAGACAACAGTGAAAATTATCATAGTTTTCTTGAAATAGACCATGCGACAGTTCAATTTTGTTTGTGCTTTGAGGTGAAAGTAAGTTAACAGAACAGATTATTCAAAACAGTTTATAACTGAACAATAATATAAAAGCTACATAGGATAATGCAGCATACATAGGCCTACATACAGTGATGCAGAAAAGTAAAGACCAGTTTTTTCAACTATCATTATGACGTCACCAATCATCATATCCACAGACTAAGCGACGCAGTTGTGTGTCAGACATCTCTGTAGACCACTACAGGGAATTCAGTGCCTTTAAATAGACCGTTACAAAGATATAAGCATTTTAATAGCATTAGAACCCCGACGCAAATATGCGACGGCAGACTATTTTAATGTGACTAACCGTCGCATGTATGCGACTGCAGTCTATGAGTGGAAACTGGCCGTCGCATATGTGCGTTGCTGGTCCATATGAATGAAAAATTTCGTACTGTTGCAGTAGCGAACGTGTTAAAACAGAGTGCATCGGCTGGTCTTGGTAAGCTGGAATCCAGTTTTGCCTTTAGAGTGCAGCAGCTAAGTTATTGGGAACATCTCTCATGATGGAAAATCACCATAACTACGTTCCACGCCATCCAATGTACATCCGATTGTTCTCGGGAATGTAAAACAGGCGGTGCGCTCCTGCGGTAAAACACCTGCTGGTCTCTGCTATGGGAGTCGCCAGGCTGTGGACGGACTATCTCGCAAGTAGGCCTAAGGTAAACTGCCCAAATACCGTGACCTTAAGGACGGTTCTCTTGAAATTGCTTTATAACAAATAAAACCACGGCTTTTGGAACAAATATTTTTTACCACTATAATAAGAACAATTTTCTCAACAAAATGATGGTTTCAGGTTGTATTATGACCAAAAAATGTATTTTCTATGGCCGTTTTTTATCAACACTCAATTTTCCTACTATTTCCTAATTCCGTGATTCACAGAAAAAAAGTCCGTGATACAGCAATTTTGCAGCTAAAAGTTACTAAAAAAAACCAGAAACTGCCTAATTTCACTTAAAAAATAGGAAAATGTAACCTCAAAAACTTAATTGTACCAGCAGATGACGATGACAGGTGAAATAAAGATGTTTGTAAAGAGCAAGAAGAAGGATTAAATGCATCACGTCCATAGAGGCTAGGCTAAACTCCAATAAAAATATTTTGTTGTTGCTCCAATTCTATTTAATAAATTACTTTCCCATTTTTTATCTATAAATATAAACTTTTATGGAGATTGGAAAAGGAGGAATATTAGGTTAGGGTACCTAAATAATATAACAAAACACAAGAAGAAAGTGTAAAAATAATTTATTGAGTAGTCTACAATAAATTGGTTACCTACTAAACAATAACTAAACAAATCACAGACAATACCATACTAAGTTAGGCTAAGTTAAATTAGATGAATAATTTAAAAATATTTAAAAAGAAAATACATAGGTAATACCCAACATTTGTATGTAGGCCTACACTCCACTATAAAAAGTATTGAACATGAAATGCATAGCCACCAGTGACTCATGCAGGAGGGAATTGGGGTATGAGCTCTGGTATGTTGGGCAGAATTTTTTCATTTCAATATCTTGAGTATTGATTGGTATGCCAGCAATGGCATGTGACTCATGTTGAGGGAATTGGGGTGTAGCATTCCAGCCCCGTCACCATTATGCCCCCAGCATAGCAAGAATGGCCCTGCCGTGGATGTGATTTTTCAACATTTAAATGCATTAAAATTCTTAAAATGCCCATAAACTAAAGTAGCCTACACCAATTTATTAAAGAAAAAATTAATTTCTAGTTGAAAATTATTAAACTTATTGAAATTACAATTAAACTAAAAGTGTTTTAATCCACGTTTGCAGCTTGCCTGTCTGTTAAATAGGCCTAGCCTAAGAATTGAGGTTGATTTATTTTGGTTGTACATATTTATTGGACAACCCAAACTAAAAACGGACTTTGGCAGTGAATTCAGCCCACTCAAAAGTACTTTATTACCACATTTAATAGTCTTATTTCATAAAATATTATTATTTTTAGCTAAATTAAAATTATCATGTGCATTCTAAACACCGTGATCCTGTCACGGTATTTAGAAAATAACAATCTTACATTGCTAATCACCGTGATGCAGTTTTCTAAAATATAATTTCAATGACCAGCTTAAAATAGGTTTATAACAAAACAGTAACACATATTTGTTCAAAATATACGTCTATTGTCTATGTAACATAAGTTAAAAATATACTAAACTAAAGCTTATTCCACTCACCTCTTTCCTTGTTTCAATCACTAAGAACCTTAAGGAAAACACCTGTTTCAAGAAACGTCAACATTAAAACTGATAAATGAGCCAGACGACATGGCACCAGCAGCCATCAAAGACATTTAAAATAAACTCCAAAAGTTAAATTTACTTTTTATATAAAGATTAAACGTCTTTGACCAGCAATATTATTGTTATTGACGGGAAAATACAAGAATCACGGTATTTGGGCGAGTCACGGTATTTGGCAATTTACCTTAGGCCTATTTAACTTAGCCTAGTTCATTTGCAGACTCCGCAAAAAAATTAATTCCTGCATGCGTTTGTTATTATATAGTGTTGTTATATTATTATTATAATTAGGACCTATATAAAAAAATACCCCCGCCAAAGCAAACCTGCTGACTATGCGAATTTCAACTTGTCTGATTATATTTTTATACTCAAATATTTCCATAAATAAGACATATTTATTAACAAATTTAAATACCGGTAACATTAGATTTAATGAGTGCATAGGTTTGCTACTACGGGGAAGGTAAAAAGTGTTTTTTGACCATACGTCAATAGTATAGGATGAAATAAATAAATTTGCCAAATTTTATCAATAGGCCTATATATCTATAAACAAGAAAACTACAACAGTTTTCATTTTCTCCATCTATCTATATATTAATAGGCAAGCATGTTTCTTTAAAACCAACCTTTTTTCTCAGCTTGTGTGAATCGCAGGGAAAATCTACAAGTATTGTTGGAAAGATTTTTTCCTGTAGATGTGCAGAATCCCAAATAAAATAGGCTAAAAAATAAGCACCAAAAATGAATTTGAAAACTTAAGAAAAATAACATGGGAGTTATGGGTTGCCATGATGGTGACAAAATAACAACAAAATATAAACAGAAAATAAAAAACATATTCCTAGGCCTATCACATTTTTTATTTACAGTGTGGGGTTATTAAGGTACATTACATATTGTAAGAAACGGCCATGTACCCTAACTTTGCCTGAATAAATAAAGAATTTTTCTTTCATTTGTTATTTTTTCATTTAATTTCATTTACATATTTTTGGTTGAGTTTTCGACCACTGGACGTCCTCTAGTAAGAATAACATGGTAATTTTAAATTACACTATTTTTTAATTTTCTCCGTGACCGTTAAGCATACAACAGTGCTTCAATATACTAAAATGATTTCTTTTTTAAGCTCTACAAAACGGTTTAAAAAGAAATTGCAAAATTTTTTGTTTTCTGGGTCAAAATGAGAAAAACCTATTTTTACCCCATAAAACCCCCTATAAACCCCCGTTCCCATGGTCCAATCATGCTGGTTCGCAAACTCGCTAGAATAAACGTAGGTTTACACGTTTGTACCAAATTTCATCAAAATCGGATCATTTTTGTTCGAGTTATCGTGCTAACGGACACATATATGTATATAAAAAAATATATATATATGAATTTGAACGGATGGTGTTTTTGGCCTCTAGGGACCTCAAAACCAAAAAGTAAATGGGTCCTGGGTCCAGGTCTTACCATGAGTACTACGGTTATAGCTTATTCCCTATATAGGAAATTCGCTAAAATCAGCTTTACGGTCAAGGCCATCCAACATATCTGTTGGGCGGTAAGGGATTTAAGTCACCTAGGCTGTGAACACTTTTTCCATTGCCGTACTGGGAGTAGGCTATAGATATCGTATACTACTGTTTATAATTTGTTATTTTACAAACCACTCGATTGTTAATTGCACAGCTGACACCAATTACTTCAAGGAAGGAATGAACGACCAATCGAAACTAGTAAGTCAAGTGGGTATGGGGTAGGGAAAAATGGAGGACTGATTGAAAGCAAAGTAAAATCAGCTCATTGTTTTCCATTGCTTGCCCGGCCCAGCCCACCTTCTAAAAATGTTCAGTGTAGCCTTTAAATAAAAAAGTTTGGAAACTCTGGCGTAGGTTTAAAGCTTATTAGGCTAATAATAAGCAATAAGTCAAATTTGAAAAAGGTAGTTAACTTAGGTAGGTACGTAACAGCAACCTAATAAGTTAATGCAAATTACGCCATACAAATATTTATGACCCAAGTTGGTAAGACCCCTAAATTAAACAAGTTTAGGCCTACTAATGAAAAATTCTGTACTACATACATTTAAGATCAGATCCATCCATCCTCCCACGTTTGTGGGAGTTAACTAGACACTCAAGAGTCACTGTATCTATACACACTGTAGAAGCTACTTCCGCAACCTAACAAAAACCAACAACAGTCATTTTCACTAATGAAATCCACTTAAAATTGAATGCAATGCAATTCTTCAAAAAAGGTACACTAAAGGGTTCACAGCCAGATTACCGTATGCACGTGTAGGCCTGCAGAGCAGAGGTAACCTCCCTTCTACGCCCATGGAGGGTTTACTTAAGCATTTCACAACGTTACTATGTAAATCTTAAAGTTGGGTTTGGTTTTAACAATAAAGTTAGAAAATACCTCCATTCACAAAGCTGGGTGTAAGGCATTATCTATTTTAGAGACTAGCTTATATTGTCACGTTTAGCCAACTGCTGGCAACATCATAAAAAATAATCATGTCTAACTTAAACTATGATTCACTTAAAATGTGGACCTTAAATTATTTCCTGCTTTTTCCATTAAACAACACAGTTTTTCCATTGTCTTGAATGTACAATCTAAATATATTCAAAGTAATCCTAATAACAAATACAAACAACAATCTCCAAAACCATGCCCTTGTCAATAATAGGCCTGATTATCGTTTGAGATATTTATTGTTCAAAGGTCAATTTTTGTGTATAAAGTACCTGGTACGGTTGAATTCTCCTTAGGATATTCAGATTCCTTGGCGCATGGAAAAAGCTTTTTTCTTGGTAAATCTTTAAACTCTTACTGAACTTGGATGTCTACAGTAGTCCTTTCTCAATTACTGGAGGCTTTTGTCGGTTCTTCAAAGTACAATATGACACCCATACGTGTTGATAATCAAAGATGGTAAATTGACCAATTTCAATGGTTGGAAAGACCATTTGAATTTTAAGGTGTTTTAGTAAGCCTCAATCCCGGACATTAAAGATTTTGTTTTCATGTTTCACAGTCTATATTGGTTATTTTTATGTAGGTTATTAACTTAGTTTTTCTTGTTTCAGCAAACTATAGCGATTCAACGTTTGACATAGTCTTGTCTAATGTGGGAAAGCCGTACACATACATCCATTCGATTCAGATACTTGGGGAGGTTCTCAGACTGTTGAAACCTTCTGGCTCTTTTGTTTTTCGTACTGTTGTACAAAAGGGGCACAGGTACGTTACATAATCAATTAGATACCTTTGAATACTTTCTTGATTAACAAATCCAGTTTTGTTTTTTACTCTTACATGGGCTTACCCAGAAAGGGGCATGGGGGGCAGCTGCCCCCCCCCCCCTAGAAGCCAGGATAAGGTATAACAAATTGAGATCCAAGAAAAATGTTCTTAGTCTGAGAAAAGATAAGTAAGATAGTTCACAGATTTTTGATGAAATTTTTTGACACATGTTATAAATTTTTCATTAGTTTCTGAGTTATTTCTTCAATAAAATAAAATTCCAACAGTAGTAATAAAGACACCAATTTCTTGCAATATCTATAAACTAACAACTTTGTGCAATATAATACTCTTTATATTAGCTTAATTTTGTTGCTCTCCACTAAATGTAGCATACATTGTTGCAGGACAGAAACTGAAATCTTGTCTTCATTAAAAGTTTGTGGCTGGATCGAAACAAAGTTGTTAGATGTTGATTTGACAGGCGAGGAAAAGTCAGAAATAACATCTTCCTTGAAGGGTTCTGAACCATTCAAAGTGGTTGAAGTTGTGAGCAAAAAACCTAAATATGAGGTAAGAATGCCACTTTGGCTACAATTCAAAATCAGTTTTCAACAGTAAAATTTACAGATTAAATAAATTTTGATTCCATGATCTAATTTTTAAAAAGAGAAGTATAGTTTTCATTTTAGAGGATGTGTCTTGTATCTCATTTAGCCTATAGGAGAATATATTTGCATAATTTGTTGTCTCTTTAAAGTTTTGAATTAGATAACTTATGATTCAGCAATCCTTATGTTTTTAATGTAAGGCTGGGGACTAACTGTGTTCAAAACTTTTGTAAACTAATTTAATTACAATTTTTTTATAGCCTAAGTAAAATAATAATAAAAAAAGATAATTACTGTGTGTTATTTAATCAATTATGTAGGCTACCTACTTAAAACTTTTCCCCTTTCTAATGTAGCCTATAACCAGCCTTAATTTAAATTTATTCCAAAAAATATTGAAAAAGAAACAGATCCAAACAAATTTAAAAAAATATTGATAGAGTTTTTAATAAATTTAGCAATTTATTCTTTTGACGATTTTTTCACCTCCCTCAGTCGCTATGATAGTTGAAATTATCTTACTAGATTTGTAAAATGTATTTTGTTGTTTTTATAACCATTCCTCATGTTTTGCTGTTTTTTATCTTGTTGAACTATTTTGACACTATTTATTGTACAGTGTACATAAAAACGAATAAAGATATTTGAATTGAATTGAATTAATCATGCTGAGGCAAACTTAGGCTGATGAGGCTAGGTAATCTTAATCAGAAGTCTGTATGTTGCCAAAATGAAGACAAATTATTGATCCAAAAATAAGTTTTGGAAACTTTGGGTTTCTTAAGCATTGAGCTCTTGGACATAACACCTAGGCTAATTATATCTTTAAAACTGAACAAAATTCACTGGAGGAATATCAACAAACTGGCATGAATGCACTGCTACACCATTGTATTCAGATAATTTACACTTTACGTTACTGATTAACTTGTCCTGATAAAAAAATATTTCAATTCATTCATTCTTTAAGTATAAGTCCCTCGGTGCTTAATTGTGGGTAATATTTAGCTGTGTGTAAAAACAGCAGAAGATCCTTCTGTTTTACAGCATTAGCTCATCCCCGAATGTCTGCTGCAGGTTGGAGCTTCAAGCCAGTTATCATTCAAGAAGGCAGTGCCAACATCAGTAGCTGCGGTCTGGAAACTGGAGGACACTGTGGAAGATGACCTCATCGATGACGACCAACTCTTGGACGAGGAAGATCTGAAGAAACCAGACCCTGCATCTCTTAAAGGTAACCGGTAGTTTATTTCAGCGTGAAAAGCCTAAACGGATTAAGACCTATGAATTCAGTGGTGGTAAAATGTGTGTGCACATTTTTTGTTAGGTTAGGTTAAGAACAAAATTTACTTATAAAAAGTTGGGTTTTATTCTGAATAGTTGATTGAATTAAAATATGATCTGTTAAATTAGTTGTTAAATTTTGTGGTGTGTGTATAAACAATACTAGGCCTATATAATGAAGCACAAAATATCAAATAGGAAATGAGAGTGAAGTAACTCATTTTTAGCAAGCTTAGTAATGAAAAACCCACATCGTTCTATAAATTGTAATCTAGTTTAAGAAAAAAAAAAATATAATGAAAAATCTCATGATAGTGTCCAGCAATATAATTCTATAAATTATTACTTATTAGTGAACACTATTACATCTTAGAATTGCAATTTAGGCCTAATATTCTGTTTAAATAGTTGTTTTAGTTTGTAATTCAAAGCTAGATCTTTTAGCTAAATTTTTGCATTATTTATATTCATCAACTTGGTCATAGTGCTGTGACCGGCATACACGCTTTCATATTTATCATATTTTATTTTTAACCAAACATGTCAAGCATACTAATCAATTTGAACAATACAAAATCAAAGTATACTTAAAAAATAACTACTTTCCACTTCAATCAAAATGTTACACATTTCAAATTTTCATCCCAAAATATATCAAGCTTTTAAATTCTTTTTAAAACAATGATGTTGGCATAATAGTTACAAATGTAAATAATACACTAAAGCCCCGTTCACACGGGGCGAGTTTACAAGCTACACGCCGGCTTTTTTACACGCAGCTAGTAAAATAGCTCAGTGTGAACGACGTACTCGCTCAAAAGCTGCTTGTAAAAAAGCTCTGGAAAAAGTTGACGCTGCCGCTACTTTACACGCCAACTCGCCAGCTTTTGAGCGAGTAGGCGTGTAAAGTAGCCCAGTGTGAACACAGTTGCTTGTGCTTGTGCGCTTGTTACTCAAAGATGTTGGAGGATTTGGTTCAAGCCAGCTACTGAGCGAGTGGAAAAAGCGTCGTGTGAACGACTACAAGCGCACTCGCCGACTCGCCGGCGTCTTTCTCCACGTCGGCGAGTTGGCGAGTGGACAAGCTCCGTGTGAACGAATACAAGCAAACTCGCCAAATCGCCGGCTTCTTACACGCTGGCGTGTAGCTTGTAAACTCGCCCCGTGTGAACGAGGCTTTACTAGGTCTCTGAAAATTAAGATTAAAATTGCTTAGAATGCTAAGTGATAAGTGTTATCATAATGTTAGTTTTATTTCAATATCTCATATTTAAGTTTTTCTTGTTTTTGTTTTGTCCTAGGATGCTAGGCACGAGCCCGTAATTGTTTTTTGCATTACTTCAGGCTAGACCTAGGGGTTGCGGCACTATCACTTAGATAAAATCCATTGGTGATTTGGCGGGATTTGAAAAAAATTCTGTTCGATATAGTTTTATGTGATATTTGAATTAAATATTCAAATATAGATTATATACTTTATTAATGGAAATCTTTGTAAAATATTCTTAAGACAATTAAATCATAGGTATAACCCACTTTGTTGGACACTGAAGATTACATATTGTTACAAGGGCAATATTGTTGAAAAGCTCATACATGTTATAACTTAGCCGGTCCAAGTCGATGCCTAATTTAGTACCCAAAGAAAATGCATCAAAATTCCGATTCGATTTGATTCAGTGGTGATCAAAAAACTATTCAAATCATGGGGGAATCAGTATTGCCGCTAACACCTGCAGAAAGTCAATGCAATGGGTGCAGTACAGGAGCACATGGTTGTTGTTGTGTTTCCTTTGCGAAGGCGTTCTTATTTAACTAATTATTTACATGTAAATATTGCTTTAATTGTTTTATAATTTATTTTTGACATCACAAATGATGAGAAGTTTATGTTAAGTGTAAGCAGTGTGTGACATGTTTTACTACTGTATACATCCAGCTAAAACAAGTCACCCCAAAATCATAATAAAAAATATCACGAGACTAAAAAACATTGTTACTTGATATTTAATTAGTAAGACTGATGTTTTATACTGATAAATTTAAATTTGGTATTTTTTTAAGTTCTACTATTGTAATTTAATACTTTTAAACTAGTAAGACTGATAGACTGGTAAATTTGGTATCTTTCAAAGTTGATCTATATCGTAACTGATATCACTATGTTTCCTAATTAAATTAATGCATCGCACGCCCCTAGATTTTCATACCGATTACTCCACAAGATGGAAATAACCTAATACAATACGATTTATTGGCCCTACCTACAGGAATCGAGTAATTTGATAAAACTCAGAACAGCTAGTTTAGATGCCTAAAGACAAATTCTGGCAGTTTCAATGGTATAAATCATCTTGTTTACAAAATGTCACCTGGCCACCTATTTCTTTCATCCCATTATAGGCCTCTACAATATGAATATGCATTTTAAATCTGATAATTTTAAAATAAAACAGCAATTGTGTCGATTTGAAATGCCTTGAAGTGAGATTGGCGGCCAAAATTTACAGACACTGGTTTTGAGTTCAAAAGCTACATACCACCTAACCTTCCATTGCATACTATAATTTACTGTACCTTATCTTACCTCCGTGGCCACTGAAACCTTAAGAGGATTTAGACCTCCCATTCTCTTCTATCCCCTGCTTCTTCTAATGTAAATCTCAGTCTGAAGATTTGATTCATTACTCGGGTTTTCCACTTCATTCTTGGTCTTCCAAGTGGTCGTCTCTCTTGTGGAACTCCTTGGAATACACTTTTATAAGTTAATTTATTCTCTCCACCACAGCCTGCCCATCCAAGCCTTTTACTTTTGGAAAGCACCCCTATATATTGGTCTTTTCACATTTCTCTTAGCTCACTGTTCTTTTGTATCTCAACTTCAGTTATCTTGAACTGGTCTGTATATTTTCTCTGTACTCTATTCTCAAACCCATCAATAAGGTTTTTTGGTTCTTTGGTCAGTGCCCAAGTTTCTCATACGCACATCCAAACATAAAAAAGAAAAAGAAGTATAAACACGTAAACCTCTTATATCTTAAACAATTAAGCGATAGTTTGTTGAAAAAAATATTTCCCAAACATGAGTTAAAACTTAAATGGCATAAACTTATACTTACATATATTGAATTTACGACAAAACTTGATTTTACGCAATTTTTTGAGATGTATAGTTCAAAATTAAACATTTCTAGATAACGCAAGTTCTTTATGGTAGGAAAAAACTGAATTGTAAAGTGAAACAGCATGTAGGCAAACACCGACAATCTATATTTTTTGTAAACAAATAATTTGTAACATCAACAATTCAATGACAGTTTGACACTGGCTATTAATTAAACCAGCACTGAAACGACTTTAAATTGTTAGCGTCGGCTACTAGACAAAAAAAAAATTAAAACTCAATATCTAAAAAACTGTAACTCTAAACTATAATTATGGCTTCAATATACGCGTCCTTACAAAATTATCTTTCTTTCAACACAAAAATCATGTAAATCCGTCAAGATGTTGATTCAGAACTGTGAAATATAATACTATGTCAGGTTTTAATATATATGATTGACATTTGTGGTTTGTTTCAGTATGTGGAACGACAGGTAAGAGGAAGGCTTGTAAGAACTGTTCCTGTGGGTTAGCAGACGAATTGGCATCTGAAGGGGAAAAGAAAGAACCAGCTGAGACCAAGACATCATCATGTGGCAATGTAAGTAAAACATGTGGTTACTTAACATTGTAATCCAAACAACATTCTGGTTCAACCCTTTAATTACCAATATATTTGACCTTACTGGAAGCCCTACTGCTTTGTTTTTATGCTCTGTAAAATGTGTTTTTCAACAAATTCTTTAAATATGCAACAATTTATCCATCATACATAGCATGTTATTGCAACATTTCATATTAACTATTAGTCGATGGATTATTTTTTACGGGGTGGGGGGTTGAGGGGGAGTTGTCAACCACGACCACTTGCGACAGAAAAACAACCATGTCCATGAACATTCTTAGTTTGCTGCGTCCTTTTCCAACAGCTAGAAGCTGCTCTAGTGTGGCGGCCGCCTGAGACCAGGTTGCAAATATAAAATGTCAAATCCATGTTAAACACATAAGAATTATTCCAAAGGTGCAAAATAAGATTTTACTCTTGAATTCACTACATGAACATTAAACTATTGAACAACCTTAAATAAAATAAATTTTTTGTCAAAGCTAATAATGTATTATGAATTATAATATTTGATAATAAAAAAAAACTAATTTTGCAGTGCTACTTGGGCGATGCGTTCAGATGTTCCTCGTGCCCTTACCTCGGCATGCCAGCATTCAAACCCGGGGAGAAGATCCAACTGTCCGACAACCAGATGAAAGCCGATGCTTAGGCTGTCTTGGTTTGGGTTAGGCCTATATATTGTTTTTCAGTTGTTAATACAATTTATTACTATAATTAGGCCTAGTTGTAAAATAATAAGCGATTTAGTGATAATAAATCTTAATCTATAATGAAAAAATAGACAAATTCAATAAATATCTGATACTTTATTGTATTATTTTTTTATCAAACCTGAGTAAACCATTAACTTAAATGAGATGATTCTTTCCTCATACTCACAGTAAGTTTTACAACAAGACAAGTTGGTTTCACCTTTAGAATTCAGATCTCTCTTCTGTTATTGATCATTATTTGTCTTCATTTCTGTTGTTTTTTGTCTCCTGATCACAAATTTAAATTAATCTAGAGGTTAAAATACCTTTAATCCGTCAATGTGATCAAATATCACCGATGAGCGGCGACCGGTTTCAGCCCAGCTGTGGGGCCATCTTCAGGCGATGAGGGAACATAAATATCACTCCAAAGAGGTCAAAAAGTCTATAAATACGTCACGAGAAACAACACATAAATACATTTTTTACAAATACACGTGTGGCCAAAAATTAACTGCGCAGCTGACGGTATGCGTACATTAAGTTGCTAGTCTGGATATTTGATCACATTGACGGATTAAAGGTATTTTAACCTTTAGATTATTTGTCTTTTGAGTTATTACTAATAATCGTGGAGAAAGGAAAAGGTAGTCTTAGCAAACAGATTTGGCCCAATTCATCTTAACACTCATCATCAATTCATTGCCGGCTAAAAGTATCATATCTTTCAAACAAAATATTTATTCATCTGCCAAAAATCCAGATGTTTCTGAAACAATAATTTATTTTAGTCTTTTACTGTACAATTTGGCTGTAATAGGGTTTTAGTAGGTATTTCAGTCTCATAAATTAGATCAATGACTGTCAAAGGAAAAGAAAGGTACAAAAATTAAGTTTATTAAAAATTTGCTTTAATAATTTTATTACATGTGAAAGTGGAATGTAAGTTAATTTACTTGAATTTCCCGAAACAGCTTGTCTTGTCAAGTATATTCATTTTTGTGGAATAATATTCACATACTTTGTTGGTTTGCCTGATGAATGCTTCAGAAGGAATCCTACGCATGTGTCCATATTTTCAGATTGAAAATCTGTAAACATAATAACAAAAGTGAGTTTTTAAAATTCAATAATTATAATTTTCATATAATTCTAATAAGAAATAATAACACCAACATCAAATATTACTGTAAACAACATACATATTAGATATTACCATCTCTTAGACATTTTTCGAACTCTGGTTGCAAAGTTTTTACAGCTAAGCATGAACAGAAAGTACAAATTTTACTAGGCCTACATTATTAGACTCAATAATGGACACCCTTTTTCTTTTTATATTTTAACTTTTCCAAATTTAAATATTCCTAACATTTATTAACAGTAAACACAAAACTAGTCTGTATTTTTGCAGAGAGAACAAAACATGTTTACCAGTCAGTAGAGAAAATAATAATGAAGGTTCCAGCAACAAAATCCTCTATGCATTTACAATTAGGAACTTTAACACTTTAACGATTATAATCTGTTATCAGCAGAGAGTACAGGCTACTGCTTGATAAAAAAAACTCAATTCTTTCACAATAATTTGAACACTTTTAACTTCTAAGTGTTTAACTTTTAACAACTCTCATCTCTTATCCAAACACGTAACTCAATTTCCTGACCAACCCAATCCTATAATAATTAGTAGGCCCTAATTACTTACTTGTTTTATACAAAATGTTGTGATTCTTTCGCTCACAGTCATTGATGAATATAATAAAATTTGTTCTTTTTCTATCAACTCCACAAATGGGTTCAACTCTTTCGCTACATAATCTTGGTTTTTCCTGTTGTCTTTTCAGTGATGCATGCTGGTTTCCAGAGAATCGTTTGTCCCAAGGCATCAACACAGTTGATCCATCATGCACATTTAATTTAGTTTTTGTAATTTTTCCATCTGCTGAAGATGCTAGTTCTCTATCAAGATAATTTATTTTATTTTTATTATTTAAATGGTTATGGTGCCTCTGGTGTTTTAAATTGCCATTTTTGAAACCTCCAAGCATCCATTTTGTGCTGGGGTAGGATTTTATTGTGTCCACATTAGACACATAACTTTTTTTCTGCCCGGATGATAAATATTTTCCTTGTTGCTCAAAAGCTTCTGGAGAAAATACTTCTTCTGTCAAGTCTTGCCTATTGAGGTTTTCAATCGTCAGAGTATCATCAAAGTTTTTAAAATTTGTTTGAGATCCTTCTGATTTTTTGTCTTCTTGTTTTTGTTGTGGTTTCATATTCTTGTTATTCCAAAAATTTGAATTTCCAAAAAGGGAGAATGTTTTGAATGGTGCAATAATTTCTTTTAATGTTTGCAGATGTGTGTCATGTTTTGATTCGGTTTTCAAGTTTTGGGGAATATAATGTTTGTTTACAATGGGCGGTACCTGTAGGTAGTTTGGCAAGTGGTTTTCATTTTGACTATTTAGGGTAACTGTTTTGAATGGATAATAATACACATTCAAACTTTCTAGTTTTTGCTGGTCATTTTTATTTGATTCACTCTGCACCTTTTTATTTTCAGCATTTTCTGTATCTTTGGAAGAAAATAGTCCAACGGATGGTCCCTCTTTAGGATTTTCAGCGTTGATGGATAGAAAATCATTAAGACCGTGATTTTGGAGATTCTTCTTTGTTAGTTTATCATCATATTTCTTTGATCCTAACTTCAAAAACTCATCTTGATTATCTCCAACTTCTGTAGTTTTTGTTTCAGGGAGGAAAGCTACCCTAAGACTTTGTGGAATCTCCACTTGCTGATTCGCAGATTCCTTATCTTTATTGTTGAAGGTCAATGGTTCATGAGGGTTGATTTCAATGGTCAAATCTGTGTTTTCGTCATTATTCTTGATAGTTAAAGTATCATCCAAGCTCACATGATTGGTGAATGTAAAAGTTGGTTTGTTGTCATGTAATGCCTTATCCTTTTTAATTGATTGATGTTTTCCATCGTGTTTGGCACTACCTGATTTCTTATCCAGATCGATTATGATGATCTCATCACTGTTCTGTGGTGTTTTTGGAAGGTCACATTTAGAGTTGTCTATGTTCAAAGACATCACTTGACTTGTCATCTCGTGGAAAGCTTGAACAATGTGGTAAGCTGAAGACACAAGTACATCAGTACCTGTCATTTCCCTGTGTGCGGTTTTCTCTGTTATTTCTCTCACAGCAACTTTCACGTTGTTTGAAATTATGTTCAAGAAATTAGCGTTGATAGATTTCATAGTAGTTGCGATATAATCTTTGTCACAATTCTCTTTCGCCAATTGATTTAAGGAGTTCAACACATAATGACTTGATATATTGACATATTCTGCAGTGAGTTTGATTATTTGTGTTGTTTTGTTGAACTCCTCAACAATGTTAGTCAGCATGTTGAGATTGTCTTGCGGAAGGTTGCCTGAGACCGGGATGTTGTTTACAGAGTCAATCAGATGTTGGGCTGATATGATAGTTGCTACTTTTAACGGTGTGAGATTCATCGCATCTTCAACTTTTGAGATTACATTTGTGAAGAATGGTATAGTTTCCACTACCACATGGTCACCGACGTTGCTTTCCTCCGTTTTTGGAGTTTTTGTCTCCATTTCCACCGTTTTTTTCACCTCGCCCACCCCCTCCGTTACGAATAGGGTAGAGAATGCTGATGCAAGACATGATATAGCAACAACTGAAACAAAACCAAAGTTTGTACTGTAAAACATTCAGTATAACTTGGAGATTCACTAGATGATGTTTTGATTCTTTGAGTTCTAGCCGTAAAATTTGTTAGTTTTTCACTCAAAATTTTAGTAGGGGCATACTGCAAAATACACACCTGTACAATTGAAAATAATTTAATCAATTTATACAACCTGCCATAACACTGGTCAAAATTTACTTAATAAAGCAACAGTACCGGTGATAAATGTGATACAGTAAATACAACAGAACATTTAAATAGTTATTTGTGTAACTAGTGCTGCACACAAGAGAAATGTTTATGCACGAGCCGTAGGCGAGTGTGGAAAGTTTCTCGAGTGCAGCAAAAGCAGTTTGCACTCGTGTTACACATTATATTTTTCATACAGTTACTATAAATCATATATAAATAATTAGTCTTTCAAACACTGTACAACACTTTTAGGTTAGGTTAAATCCAAACATTGAACGAAATGGGAAACACTGCACCAGCTGATCGTAGTTATAATATCTTTAAGTGTTGCCAACTTATTTTCAAGCGTACACAGATTGCGTGCATAATTAAAGCACACTGTTTTGTGTTGTTTGCTTGGAATACTGGTGTGCACCAAAGTAAAAACTATGTGCCAGAGTAAGGCTTTCTGTACTATAATCTGTGCATGGAAGCCCACTTTGTCGGGTTACTGTTGGAAAAATAGTTTGTATGTATAACCGAAATCCGTAACTAGTTTAGCAGACATTAAAACATTAAATTTTTTTTAATAAGAAATTTCTTGACAACATGATTTTATATTAATCAAAACATCTTGCAATGAGCTCATCTTGAAAATGAACGAGCATTTGACATAAAACCACATTAGTACAGGACGTCTGTCGGACCAGCTAGTACAAAATAAAAAATGATTACTTTTTTTTATTGGACAACATTTTATTTGAAAAGAACATAATAAGGGAAATTTGAACATAATTTTGTGTTCTAGAAAGACGTTGATTGACGTTAGAAAATGAACATGGTTAGCGCGGAAAGGGTTATATGCCACGTACATCGTACAAGCTCACAGGGTTTCTCCAGAGAGCAAGAAAGTAGCGCAAACTGCTTGTTACTGTGCAAATGCCCCTGTTCAGCCCCAACATCAACAAAAATTATGCGGATTCAGTCAATAAGGAGTCACCCGATCAAATGTATCATTTTCCCGTCCGGAAAGGGTTAGTATCATTACAAATGTAAAACAAGTACAGTATTGAATTTTATTTAAAATTATTTAAATTTATTAACAAAATACAGTATAATATATAATCTAAAATTAGATGCCGACACTTGTTTTTTGCAACAATATACTTGGATTATCAAAATAGTTTCTTGATTTATATTACTTAAAGTGTCTTAGATTTTAGATGGCCTTTTACCCTATAAGTGTAACAAATTTTGTAAAAATCATTAACTCAAACAATTGTAAAATTTTAAGTCTAAAAATGCAGCTATACAACTTAAAGAATATACTATATGTTTTTACTACTAGCTCGCACACTTATCTATCATCCTGTAAAATTTGGTCTGAAGAAAAACTAAATCATGAGTAAGTTGCAATAAAAACTCAAAAAGAACAATCCAATTTTGATTAAAATACTATTTACTTACTAAATGAAACAGTTAGATGAGGAGAAATAAGCATTTGAACATGGAATGTTTCTGAGTAGTACCCTTTCTTTGGTGCAAACTGATTGAATTTTAGATTAAAATCACATAAGAGACAATTTGATATGAATCTTATCTAGCAATCAGGCTATATAAAACATGTGACTCATAGGGACTAAAAAAGAAAGTGCATTCTAGAACTATCACTCATATTCCCTGAGTAAGATGTAGCTAATTGATTGTAGTGCTGTTAAATCTGTCCTAAGCAGCATATTATAGCTTCTCATTAAACAAATTTAACATGTATTTTAATTAATAATATTTATTAAAACATTATTATTGTTTTTCTATTAAAAACTTGTTAAAAGAGTTTCACAAATGGTTTTCAAATAAGGCATATTTTGTAGCGTAACAATTTTTTAGACTTTCAAAATAGATAAATTAAAAGACCCTCTAAGGTTATTTAGAATGTATTTAAATAAAAACAAATTACAGTAGTACCTCAATAGCTTAGACTTATGGACTAAAGGGGTGTATAACTATCAACATGTAAAACTATAGGGATTTTACTGAAGATCAAAGTCTGACTTTGACTTACTGGGAGAAGGATGAGTTATTTATAGGTGGTGCACAATGGGGAAAACAAGAAGTGGGCTCTGGTCACTGACTGGCAAAACTTGTCAAGGACTTTTCAAAGTATACAGACTGTCCAACTATCATAGTTCCTTACTCAATATGTTGTAATGGTACAAGTTACTAATTAAATTTGGTGTAATAATTATCTGTGGTAAAAGTAGGCTGTGTCAAATCTTCTCAATCTAAAAGAAATATTGAGAGAAACATTAGTCCCAATAGACAAAAGCCAAGTTTAGCTCTGTGATCCAAGTTTGTGCTGCTTTTAAACAATTTTGAGTCAAGCTAAACCCACCAATGTAATGTTAGTTAAATTAAATTGTTTACTGTAAGACCCAACTGTCTTGAGTTTCACCCTCATCAGTCACAAATTATGCCTACCCATGGGTACAAAACCTGTTCCCAATTTTAGCAACTAACACACATCACTCACTGAGAAGAATTCGCCGAGTAGTGAGTAGGCCTACTGTATGGGTGCACAATAAGCTGTTCCAGGGGCCCTATTTTTGAAATGGTTGACTGTTGAGTTGAATGTTGAGTCATTCTATTTCCAATCGTTTCGTATTTTTGAAACGATTGACGGTCGACTTATCCAACCAAAACTACTCACCACCTACTGAGCTGTTGAGTGGATGGTTGACTGCACTTTCTTCTTCCTCTTTCGGTAAACAATTGCTCTTTTTGAGTCGACGCCATATTGTTATTGCTTTAATTTATTAATTGTGATTTAGAGGTTATGTATTTGTTGTCAATGTATTAGCACCCAATACTTTATGCGATTGTTTTCTGTAGAATAATTGCATTTTAATTTTATTTACTGGGTCAATACTAGACTATTTAATCAAGGGTTTTATCCTTGTTGGTATGTTTGAAAAGATTGTGGTAGAGAGAAACAATATCATAGTTTGTTTCAATACCATTCACCTAATAAAGGGATCAAATTAATTTAAGTTACGATATGCTTTCAGTGCAATGGCAAATAGCCGCTTTAACCTAAATAAAAACACAATTAAATAACATAAAACAAACGATGAAGGAAACTAAAATAAGTTGGTGTGTTCCGAAATAGAGACGAAGAAAGCAAATAATAATGTATTTAGGATATGCCTAAACTTATAATTAGCTACACCCTAAAACAAACATCCATAGTAAATTTTATTTTTAATACTTACTTAAGTTTATATAAGTTAAGGTACTTTTGCAATCACTAAGATTAAGCAAGGCATAACCTCAATCTCTCAAGAACGGAGTTGACAGTTTACCTCAGTGTCTCGAAATATGGTAGATTGAGATAAGCTGCCAGATTTTAGAGTAAGAAGAGGTTAAATCAAAGATCGCAAGAACTCTGCATTGTGATTAGTTCAAAATGACGTAATCTGAATTTCGGGCAGTCGTATGCCCTACATTTCCAAAACGAGTCACTCAACTAGTGATTCCCAACTCGCTTCCCAACTGTTGGGTTTCAAAAATACCAAATCCTGTTGTTGGTTGAGTTGAGTGCTGACGATTGACTCAACTGTCAACCATTTCAAAAATAGGGCCCCAGCTGCGATGCAATCCTATGGTCTACTTATAAGCCTGGCCCTCTATTTAAAAAGACCTACCGTACTGATAAGTGATAAATGAACCTGGACTACAGAGTCGATAGAGGAATACTTTACTTTAAGTTTAGCTATTGTATGACAAAATAAATAAAATACTAGGAGTTTTATAATCAGGAAATTTAGTACAGACTAGATCATAGAAAATATAATTTATTCAGAAATAACACGCATTGATTAAGGTATAAAGATGCATAAATTGATAATGTATACATTGCATATGGATAATAAATACCGGTATTAATTCTACGATAAAATATAAACTCATGGAATCACTTAAGACAGTGAGCTCTCTTTTTCTGACCACATCAGTCAGACTATTTCAATACCTCTGACAGGTTAAATTGAGTGAATAGATACATGAATTTGTAATTAGGGATTTAGCTAATGCAGACAATCTCAGCATTTCAATGTACAGTATCTGAAAAGAACATTCTTTGCAAAAGGCTTGTATGGAAATATTATGTTTTACTTTACATTATAACTGCTCTTAAAGAAGGTCTCAAAAATATCACTTGGTATTGTAATTTAATATGTAACAACATATTTATCTATATACCCCTGTATACACCCTGTATGTATTTAAAATCTTAAAGTTATTGTCATCTTTTAGCCTAGGCTTAGTTTCAAAGTTATAAAATTGTTCATTTTACAAGAGTAGATTACATTTTATAAAATGCATGACACAAGAAGAACAAATCATGTTATTTGTTATTCTTTTTATTTTAATTATATTTATTTTTATTGCAAATTTTTCTTTCTTAAAACCTACTTATACCAACCTAACATAATTTTTACGCAGTTAAAATTACTATTTATTGTTTTTGTGAATTAAGTAAGGGATAGAATTTAAGCAAGCTTACCTGATAAAATAGAGTTACACAAGTAAAAGTACACAAAACAACACTGATATTCTCTCCTGACATAGGAATTCTTCAGATAGGTAGTAGGTTGAAGGGAAATGAAAAATCAACCTACTTTCTGAAGAAACCATATGTTAGGAGAAAATATGAGTGTTACACTATGTTTTGTGACCTTAAATTTATAAGCCGTTGGACTCGAATTTTCTCAGGCAAGCTAGCTGACTCTATCCCAAAAGACACTCTTAACCAGCTACTTTTTTTGGCTTTTCTCAAAAATAATCTACAGTTGTGATTTTAAACTTTGCAAGTCTTAGAGAGCAGTTTCTATATAAACTTAAAAGTAAAAATATTCAAGCTGACAGCTCGGCGACGGAAGGTGAAGCGACATGAACGCCGACAGTGCCCCAGAGCACAGATCCGCTAGGAGGCGGAAGTACTAATATCTCTGTCAAAGACGAGCTTGGAGCCATCTTAAGTGTAAATACCCTGTCAACAGACAAAACACATCATGCAATAGACAGATACCAACCTAATGCAACGAATATTTGTAATTTACAATCAACTCCTTTATGGATCAGATGGAGAATGGCAGACGCTGAGCCTAGATTACTGACGTTCCAGACTCAACTTATTCTGGGTTTCCATCTAAGTAAATCAGCTGGTTTAAAAAATTAATTGATGTGTATACGGGTCGTTTGTGGTTGAACTTAACTATGAACTGTTTTGTATGTTTAAAATTTGTTAAATTGACGGTCTCTAGATGAGGATGACTATAATAGTATGTTATTGTGCAGCCTGAAAATGGTAACAGCTCAGTAGTGAAACTAGTTGCTGCAGGAAGCAATTTTAAGGATAATCATAAAGCAGGAATTTACACCATTATAAATTTATGAATAATCTGGAGGCTATATCGCTAACAAAAAGTTATAGGTCCTATATTATAACCGTTGTACAACCCTGCAGTCAAAAATGAGATATCCATTAATTGCATCGTGCATTGATTAAAATAAAAACCATTATTTATAACAAAATATTGCATACACTTACACTCTCTGCCATGTACCATTTTCCTCTGTTGGTTTGCTCAGTATTTTACTTTCATTGCAAAGATTTTCCTCAGTAAAATCCATCACTGATGCAACAACTCTCAAGCCTTCCAGCTCTACCATTGACCTGTAGCCTTTAGGTGTAGTGGACATATTGACTCCTTGTTTTCCTTCGATACTGTAAAACATAAAATAATTAGGTTATAATTACAAATCAAAATGGTAAATTAATACAACTTTTACCAGCTGACATATATTGTTTATACATTTATATGGACTAGAGGTCGTCCAGTGGTCAAAAACTTGATAAAAAATATGTCTAGTCCAGACTTCTCTATTTTCACCTCACGCTGTAAATAAAACATGTGATTGGAATTTTTTCCATTTGTTTTGATTTTCTGTTTATATTTAGTGTTTCGCCACCAACATGACAACCCATAAGGTCCATGTAAATTTTTTTTTAATTTTAAATTTACTTTTTGTGTTTATTTTAGAGCCTATTTTAAATTTATAAAGGGATTCTGCACATCTACAGGAAAATATCTTTCTAACAGTATGCGTGGATTTTCCCTGCGATGCACACAAGCTGAGAAAAAGGTTTTTAAGAAACATGCTTGCCCATTAATATATAGGATGCCCATTAATATATAGGATATAATGCCTACTTTTAATTGTGAACTTGGTATGTAGCTTATAAGTATTTTTCTCTTGTTGTCTATGCCGGTGTCTTTTTACGGGATCAATGATAAAATGATAAATGATATTTATTGGCACAAAGCGAACAGAGTATTAAAGGATATTTGTACAAGTGTTTCGACAACAAACGATTGTACGGGAGGAAGGATTCAAACACTTTAAGGGCATGCGATCCAAACCCATATGTATTGTGGGTGTGCCGGTAATCAAACCCTCACCCAAGTTTGGGACGCTAACAACACCCCAAATATTTGACACTGGTGTAAAATTCACTAGGCCTATGTAATAC